ATCTCATTCATTATCCACGAATTATCAAAATGCTTGGTCCACTAAGTCATATGTGGTGTGATGTGAAGGTAAACTGAAAGATTTTAAGAAAACTGCATCATCTGTAGGGAATTTTAAAAATATTTGTAAAACAGTAGCTATTACAGGCTTTCACTGGAAGACGTGCGATTTCAGGTCTTCATATGACCACGCATGTAATACTCTTGTTTTGCGACTTGTCCACGGCTTTTAAAATAGTAATTATTTTCACGCGTTTTAAAAATAGCGCTTAAAAAACAAAAGTAAACAAAATAAAAATGAAAGCAAAAACTATAAACTGTAAAAAGAAAGTAAATCATAACTTATGAGAAAATAAACAAAAGTAAAAAAGTTAGTTAAAAACTAAATTTATGTTTTTTAAAATTAAAAGAGTTTTACTTGAAAGACTTGTGTGAAGATCAATGTTTTGAAGTTATTTATTCGAAGCTTATTTGTAAACAAAATTTTTAACAATTTTATTGCATGTTGGGTTTATATCAAATTATGTTAGGGTTATAGCATATTTGATGTAAAAGTTCTATGCCGTTTGATATAAACTATAAATTGAAATTTTTCTCTTTTTTTTTTTACTGTTTTTGTTTTCATATTTTTAGGATGCCTGTTACTTTAATCAACGAAATTTGATACATTCAGGGAGCAAAAGTGACTTTATGTTCAAAAAATTAAACGAAAATAAAATATTTACTACATGGAGTTATAAGAGAATTATATATGTCATTATAAAGAATGAACGATTTTTTTATTCAGTTAAAAGTTGTAAAAATTTTGTTGAATATTTTGAATAATATTTTTAAAATATGAAAAAAATTTTGTTTTTTATAAAATGTGAGGTTTATCAAACCCTTAAAATATGGGTTTAAAAATGTTATACATGAATTACCTATTACTATTTAATAAACTGTTCGTAGGGCTGCGAAATATTTATACTCGGATCTGTGTCTAAGGCCGTTAAATAACTAGTGCTGAACGTGGATAGTATTTGAGGTCTTTTATCTGAAAAAGAATGGCCAATGTGCTGAAACATCTTTTACTAGCGCTGTTAGATGACGATAAACAGATGTACAACTCAGCTAATAGCAAAATTATTGGAAAATACTAATGTTTCATTACTTAACGTAATGCAATTGAAACATGCAGTTACTAAGTTAGTCGAAAGGAATAATAAGAGTAATTTCAACTACATTGAAATAATGAAACAGCATTAAGGAAACAGTTTCCTACATGCATACAATTTTGACAAATCTAATTAAAAGTAACGGAAAAGTTCTTTTATTTTATTTCTTCCGTAATACATAATTGCTCATTAACTTCTATTGCTTTTTATGTAATAAAAGGCGATCATTGAACGCAAAAGTCAGATTAGGGTTGAATGTGAAAGAGGAAAATGAGTACAAAACCAATAACAAAGTCACTGAAAACTGTTTCTGCGTGGAAATATGATTTCCTGAGTTACGAGGTTGAACGTATTCACAGTGTTAACACTGTAGTCAAGATATGGTGCAAAATATGCGCTAAGCATAAAAATAACATGCACATCCAACTGTCTGTATTTGGGTCAGCTAAAAAAAGTACTAAAGCTTTTACACATCATCAGGTAAAATGTATTTTTATTAACTATGGTAGAGATTAAAAAATAATTTCTTTATTTAGAACGTTATGAATCTAATATAATGAGTACCTATGGTATAGGTAGTTATTATTTTAGGCAATACGGCATAATGTTGTAAAGTGTAATGATATTTATATCTACTCTAGGTTAAGAGACATATGGCAACAAGACCACATAAAGAAGCGATGCTATTGGATAATTCTACCTCTACTTTAAATACTCCTTTATCTTCAAATGCATCTTTAATAAGCAAGGATGTTTACGAAGCATATTTAAAGTTAATGCGAACTGCGTATGACTTAGCTATGCATCCTGCTATGCCGCATAATAATTTTGAGGTGCTTGTTAAAGTTCAAAGAGTTAACGGTGTAAAGTTATTGCAAGGCAAAAACAACAGGAATACAGGTATTTTATTTAATGCAGGTGTATTAATTGAATAAAACATGTATATAGTGGCGAAGGGGGAGGAGTGTTAAAAAGAAAATTATAGCAGGTTTAGGCGTCAAAAATAAGAATTTCAAAAAAAAAGGAAATTTCCATAAATTTGAGGGGGGCATGCGCCCCATACAAATACATAATATACATAAGTGTTATTTGAATAGTAGTTCCAAAATTTAATTTAAAAACTTGAATAAAGTTTTGAATCATTTGATTGATCAAAATGACTAACTACGCTTTTTTATGCAAAGTCGGAGCCTACGTAGATTTGCTTGATGCCATGACACCATTGTCGCTTTTTTTTTTAAAAAATGTTTTGTTAGCCCACGAAGTTCAACCCCAAATTGATTTGACAATCAATAATTTAACTGCTTTAACACTAGAGGTACTCGATGAAGCATTTTGTAGTTCGATTAGAAAGTTTCCAAGAAAAGAAGAAAATGGCATTGTCTTTGTCGAATCTTGTTACTTAATGGCTGGACACAAAAAAAGAAAAAGTAACAATAAAAAGTACCTTGACATCAAGCTAGATGGCATGATTGAACCTAAACACAACGACATCAAAAGAGCGTTCCAGCTTAGAAAACAATGTATTGACATTTTAATACCGTTGATAAATAGTCGATTTAAGTCATTCAATGATAATCTGTTATTTGACTCCATGAAATGGCTGGACCCTCAATATTGGACCAACGAGCAAGATAGTTCAAACGGTATAAAATACCTTATGCAACATTTTGAGGAACCACTTGCAAATGTAAATTTCCAGGAAGATAAGGTTTTCGGGGAGTGGGATTCTGTAATAATATTGGTAAAAGCACGTTATTCAAAGTTAACTTGTCTAGAAGTTTGGCATAAGTTATGGGAGTTTGGAAAAGCTCATTTTCCAAACATTTTGCTGTTAGCTGAGCTGTGCTTCTGTTTATCGTCATCAAACAGCACAGTTGAAAGGTGTTTCAGCACACTGACAACGATTCTTTCCGATAACAGACTTCAAATGAGCTATAGTACTATAGAAGAGTGCATGTTAATTGTTGGAAATGATCATGTATGGTCGGATGAAGATCGAAATGATATACTAAAACAAGCCGTGAATCAATATTTAGAAAAGCGTAGAACGGTTAAATTTCAATCTGAAACAGAAATTTACATCTGTGAAAATCAAAAAAATAGCAATGAATCTTCTGTTGAAACAGTTGACAGTGATAACAGTGTATCAGATTGTGAACTACCTGGCTCAGAAGAGGAAGATATCGAAAATGACGATACGGCTAATGAAAATAGTGAGTCTACTGAAATGCAAACATCAGATAATGAATCATCAGATAAATGAGAATGCAGCCTTAAATTTTTTTTATAGCTATATATTAGTCTTTTTATTAATTTATATTATAGAAAATTGAAAATTTATAAATAGATTGTACAAATAGATAAAAAATAATGAGCTCCCTTGCCGTATTGAGAATAAAAGTATAAAACGTAAAACAATTTTAGTAAAATATTTTTGTAAACATAATTTAAAAATTGCTCTTTCTTTATATTTATATTGACGCGTATATTTCTCAAAAAGATTGCATATTGTAAATGTTTTATTTTTTTATCTGTTTTGTTTCCTTGTATCAAATTTCGTTGACGGAAATAACAAGCATCCTAAAAATAAGAAAACAAAAAACAATAAAAAAAAAAGAAGTAATAAATCTTGTATTTTAGAAAGTAGTTTATATCAAACAGAATTGAATTTTTAAACAAAACGGTGTGCTATAAACATTACTTTAGTCTTTTCATTCCTGCGATAATTTACTGCAATAAAGTTATTACAAACTTGATTTATAAATAAGTTTAGAAAAATAACTTTACGCAAGTATATCAAGCGAAACACTTTTGAATTTAAAAATTAAAAATTTAGTATATAGCTTATTTTTTACTTACTTTAAGTTAAGATTTATTTTCTTTTTTCAGTGTATGGTTTTTGCTTTTATTTTTATTTTGTTTACTTTTGTTTTTTAAGCGCTATTTTTAAAACGCGTGAAAATAATTACTATTTTAAAAGCCGTGGACAAGTCGCAAAACAAGAGTATTACATGCGTGGTCATATGAAGACCTGAAATCGCACGTCTTCCTGTGAAAGCCTGCTATTAGACACCAAATGGACCAGTCAACAAGGTTCATGGCGAAACATGGTTCGAAAAATAATGAATTTAGGGTTGCTAAAACTGAGCCCATTTTACTTTGTCATGTGATTGATGGACAAACTGTTTCAGAACTGATAGGCAACTATGGATTATACAGAGAAATTTTTCAATCAAAAAGTGTTTCTGTTAACTTTGTTAACTTTAAAGTTGGTGATGTTGTTATTCATGCAGTTGGAGAATTATATCCTGAATTTTGTATAATCAAACAAATTTTTATATTTGATACTGACTGTTTTTTTTTATTTGTCAAAAGTTGTTTGTTATATCAGAATGCTATCACTTGCAATCTTTTGAGGTTGACATTGAAACAGAATTAATTGTTTTAAATTGCTCTCACTTTGATAGCATTATCTCACCTTGGCCATTAAAACTGCGAAATTTAAATAAAAGTAACTATGTATCATTAATACACAAAGTATAAAGATTGGACTTGGTTTCTTTTATTTTAAAAAACTATTACTTTTTTGTAAATAGACTAAATGAATAATATATATATATATATATATATATATATATATATATATATATATATATATATATATATATATATATATATATATATATATATATATATATATATATTATTCATTTAGTCTTCAGGATTGCTTTTTTTTAACAATTATATAATTAATCTTATGCAATAAACTAAATGCATAGAACACTAAAGTAATGAAATATCTTCATATTTTGACTTTTTCTAGATTTTTTAAATTTAATAAGTTTTAATTGTTATATATTAAAGTGAATCTAGTTTTATATGTGTTATGTAACATAAAATATAAACATTTATTTGCCTTTTTATAGTGTCATATAAAATGAAGGATAAAAAAGGAAAAATCGAATGCAATGTCTCAAAGCAAGTTGTGATTGTGATGAGTACACAAAAAAGAAAGATTTTAATTTGTGTGCTTATTGTGATCATGCACCAGTTTTACATAAATGTACAATAATATCATAATTATTTAATCTATATAATTATGCCAATAATATATAAAATACAATTAGTTTGTATCTGTAGAAGCTTGATGCTTAGTATTGTTTTTTTTTAAACAAAAATAACTGACATGTAATTCTTTTTTATGTTTTAGTAGAAGATAGTTTTAATCTTATTGAAGATGTTCAGTCAGTTGATTTCACAAAGAGCAATCCAATGCAGAACACTTTATCCAGTACACTTTTTTAATGATTTATCTTGCTTTTCACTTAACTAAAATATATTAGTGGTAAAATTAAATGATAGTAAATCATTATATAGTTAAAACCAAATTAATGTGTGTTACTAGTTTTTAAGTTAAATACAGTTAACATAAAGTTTTTCCCAAAAATATATCTATTATTTATAAATAATTTTTAGCTTCTCCCAGTATGTCTAGCATGTTCTTTGAGCCTCAAAATGATGCAAAAGAAAATGAAGATGCTACACTTGGTATCTATTATAATTATTTTTTTTATTGTACAATTTATCCTATAATAAGGTAACAGTTGTTAGGGACTTAGGGTGAGTGGTTTAAACATTAAAGGTAAAATTTTTGGTTATGGAAGTTGTTTTTTTTATTAAAAATTTGAAATTTTTTCAATAAAATTTTTAAATATAAGAGTTTACTTGACTATCTAAATTTTTTTAAGTAACTTAACATTTCTCTCACACTTGTTTTACTAGTATTACTATTTGCAACTGATCTGAATAATGTTTTTAATAATAATATTTTTTGATTCTAGAACCAGCTTTTTTAAATGAAAGTGAAAAAGGCTTCAATGTGTGCAGTAATGATTTCATGAGCCCTTTGAAAAAGCATTGTATGTTTCCAGATACAGTATTGACTAATAAAGTAATTTCTACATCGAAAACCATTGTTCATAATAAAAGTTGTGCTCTCTTTGAGGTTTTACAATTATTTTTTTTTAATATACTTTTTTTACTATATTCGAAATATATGAGTAAAGAAATATTTTAACACTTAGTTGGAATAATTTATTAGATTTTATCACAAGTATAATAATTTTGGTTCTAAAAGATATATTGACCTTAGTAAACCTGGGATATGATTTTTGAATTTAACAGAATAGCTTAGCCCCTATCTTAAAATCTTGCACAAATGGTATGATTGTGTTAAGTGCTACTAATCTAACATTTAGTCTACGTAACAAGTTGGCTGGTATAGTATATATACCAGCCAACTTTCAAACTATACCGCACAATAGCTCTTTTGGCTACTGTGCGGTTGACATGCTGTAAACGTTCAAAACGTTTATCTAAAGACGCAAAAAGAAAGTCTTGGACTCCAAGTGTTAAAGAATGTGGCGAATCATTTCTTTTTCTAGCCAATGTATTTATAATAAACTATTAAAATTTTATATTTAAAAATATTAAGGGTGTTAGAAAAATTACATTACGTAATAGAAATTACATTGCGTAATAAAAATTACATTGCTTAATATTTGGTGTTTTTTCAGTCAGTTGAAGATGCTGAGCATTCAATAGAAAACATAAGAATTCTTTATAATTATAATAATCACACTTCAACCTTTTGTTTATGCTGTACCACCAAACATTGCTGTTGCTGTGTACAACAACCCTAGATGGTCATTTCAAACGCCTTTGAAAGCCATGGATTTTTCTTTTAAACTGATTCAGGTGAGTCGAATATTGTTATTGATACAATGTTTGTTACATATTGCATGTTTGAATTTATATAAAATACTAGTATTTTAGCGAGTATTGCATATAGTTGCACTTTTAAAAAAATGCTGATGTGTGCTGATTTTTTGCATTACTTTTTGCGAAGTTATTACAAAATTCATGCAAATAAACGCTCTTGTGCTAAAATAATCTTAAAACAATTGTAAATAAACAAGTATAATTACTCTACGTATGTGATAATTATTTTACAAAGCATAATTTATCATATGAAATTTTTTTGAGATTTGAAAAAGGTGAGGCAAAGTCTTATACCTGCAAACGCACTTTACAATGAGCCCTCATTATCAATTATTTTTCTTTAGGTCTTGAATAAGGAATACAATAGTTTGCGAGTTTTCCAGCTTGGATGTTTTTACAGAAATACATATATTGTTTCAATTGCCCTGATTTTGATGTTTCGTGCCCGAAAGCAAGTGAATTAGCATCTGAGTTAAATCTATAAACTTCTTTCGATACATTTCAATCTTAATTTAGATAAAATAAAGCATTTATTTAAAACTATTTGTGTTTTTTTGTTTCGTTTTTTTTTTTAATTTAAAGCGTACATTAAAGTTCCATTTTTTCAAAGCAAAAATGGAACTTTAATGTACGACAAAAGACAAAATTTATTGTTATACTTTCCCAAATAAAATGAGGAATCTTTACGGGTATTTACCAAAAAACTTGGTTATCTTAACAAAAACATTTGGTGAATATTTATGCACCAAAAAAATTTTGTAAATTTTACCAAGTAGATTTGGTGAAAAACATTTCACAAAATCATTTGGTTAATTTTACAAAATCATTTCGTTAACAAAATCGTTTGGTTAAGGTTACAAAATCACGTGGTTAAATTTATAAAACTATTTTTACCAAATAATTTGGTAACTTTAACAAAAATATTTGGTGCATAAATATTCACCAAATGTTTTTGTTAAAATAACCAAACTTTTTGTTAAGTTCACAAAACGTTTTTTGCCGTTTACGGGCATTTTTTTTTAAAAAGTTACATTCTAATTTAGAACGTTTAGAATTTCTAAACGTTGAAAAAACTTAAAGTAAAGTAAAAAAGTAAAGAGGCCCCCTTTACATTTTTGGCTGGAGGGGGGGCAAATTTATAGTTACGCCACTGAGATAATTTAATTCAAAAAATAAAGTCATTTTACAACGCAAATATTTTTAAAAGTATTTAGTGTTTTTTTGATTTAATAACAAAATCAGTTATAGCATTATATTATGCATAATATTGAATAACAAGCGGTGATCACACAAAAAATATGCCTCACACAAGGCCTTCTTAAACAAGCCGCGACAGCTCATTTTCCGTAAAATTAGCGAAGGCCGACTTTTTTACGGAGAAGTATAGTTTCAATGAGGATTTTGGTTGTTTGATTTAAACTATAATAGTTAAACTCGTAAAATGCCTAATAAATGCTGCGTTTATGGTTGCTCCTCAAATTACAAATCAAAAGTAAAAGATAATATTTATGTCACAATGTATAGATTCCCCTTTAAATCCGAGGATCGCGAGTTATGGATTAAAAAACTTCCAAATGCAAACTTTGTGTTTACAGATTATAAGCGAATTTGTGCTCAGCACTGGCCTAAAGATGCATGAATTAAAAAAAGTCAAAGGTGGTAGTTTTGTTCCAGTGCATCCTCCATCAGTCTTTAAAGGTATACCAGTGTCTTGTATTCCAATAGTGTCTAGAAAACGAGATGTCACTGGGTTAATATGTTCTGAAAGAAATAATTTACCTGATGAGTTTGAAAACTTCAAAAAAACGGACGTTATTCAATTTAATTCAATTGTAAAAAATTTGAAGTCAATAATAAATAACTGTGAAGAAAAATTTTATTTTGTTGAAAAAGAAAAAAATATATCTTTAATATCATATGAACATTGTGGACCAGTACCTAAGTTTTCAATATATACAACTTTAGAAGATTCTGGAGATATTTATTTTACTGGATATAGCCAACTTTTACAAATTAAACTGTCTTTTTTAAACAAAGGAGTTATTAAATATTATTCTCAACTGGAGAATGCTGTTAGTTATGTTATTAATAATGAAACAGATTCTAAGCGAGCAAGTTATATTAACACAAAAAGCTGTGTCACCAAAACCAATTGAACGACAAAATGTTGGATTAGTTCTTAAAGTTTTTTGTGATGAAACAGTTGCAGCATTACGTGTAAAATTTCCTGAAGCTGAAGATACTGCACTTTTTATTGAAACAGTTGTTAAGTGGTGGCTTATTGTCAACAGTAAAGCAAAAGGTCTAGATATTAGATTAAATGATATTTGAAGAAAGCCTATTACTTCAGTCAATAATTGGCAAATAGATTTCTTAGAGAACTATATTTCGTATTTTGCTGAAAATTTGAAATGTGTAAATTCAAAATTAAGAGAGAAAAAGATAACAATGGATACTGCAAGTGCTTTGCAAAAAACTTCTAAAAGATTAGCGAGCTGTGCCAAGTATTTGTTGAATTGCGGTGTATCTTATGTATTGTTAGGACATATGCAATCAGATGCACTAGAAAAACAGTTTGGGAAATATTGGCAAGGGTCAGGTGGCACATATTATGTTATATAAAAATTTAGAATCAACAAAACTAGAAAGTTGCTAGAAAAGCATACAGATTTTACAATATTTCCTCCTGCTCACCACCACTGTGATAAGTGTGAACTTGATGTGGAGTTTAATATGTCAATATGTGAAAATTGTGAGGATCAGTTGCCAAATGAATGCAAACAAGGGCTTTTATATATTGCAGGTTTTATTGCTTACAAACTTCCAGAATTACATTCAATTTTAGAAAAAACAGACACCTTCGATATGTTTCAAAAATATGGAACTTTAATCAGTTCTTTGAACAGGGGAAGACTAAGAGAACCTTCTGACAATTTAGTCTACTTTGTTTTTTATTGTTTTTTTATATTTGAAGTGACACTTGTGAATAAAGTTTCACCATTGCTGTGCAAGAAAGGATTAATTGACATTTTTATTAACTGCAATAGTAAATTTCAATTGCTTGTTCAAAGTGTTTAAAAAGTTTGCTGCATTTTGGCAAACATTTTTTTAAACAATTATTGTAAAAAACACTCTGAAGATTTTGGGAAGGAATGTTTAATAAAACAAGCAAAACTTTCAACTTCAAAATAAAATACTTTGAGTCAAAAAAGTCAAAATAATTTTAATAAAATAAAGTTAATATATTTGTTTGTTTTTATCAAAAAATTTATTATTTGTATTACAAGTGTTAAACAGCTAAAATAAACATATAGTTATAAAAACGAGATTTAGTCATTTTTAGCTAAACTCCTTAATTTTTTATTGTAATTAACTTATTTCTAAACGTAAAAAAAAATTCCTACAATATTTGCTTTCGAAATTTAATCAAAATGTTTTGTCCTAATAAAGCTCTTTATTTGTTTCTGAAGTTTGTTTACAAAATCAAAGATAAAAAATAATTTTAACCGTAAAAAAGTCGGCCTTCGCTAATTTTACGGAAAATGAGCTGTCGCGGCCTGTTTAAGAAGGCCTTGGCCTCACACCATAAAGTTAACTTTTAAGAAAAAAAATTTTTTTAGCACTTATCAATTTTCAAGACTACACTCGTCAATTTTCAAGACAGATCTTCAGTTTTTAAAACTAGTTTATTTCTTTGGAAAACCCTTTTTGCATTAACATTAAACAAAATATTTTTCAAAAAGTACGATTGATTTGCCTACCTATGTGTGCCACCCATAAACTATAAAATTGAAAAAAAAAACTCTGGATCTTCAATGATATCTAAATAAAAATAATAATTGGGCACCCAAGGCAAATGTCATTTTTTGAAACCCTACACAGGTGTAAAAGAAAAGCTTATTTCGCTGCTTTTTTGAGTAATAATAATAGAATCAAAAACAGACAAACTTTATATATCCGTTTTTCGATCTTTATTTTATTCGATACTATTCTACTATTCTACTTTCCAGCATTTTCAACGAATCAGATATGCACAATCTGGTTCGCGGGTTTTGAAAGAGTGGGATGTGCGCACTCGTTAAATATTAAAAAATCAAAAGAAATTTTATATCGCGTTTTGAAAAATAAAAGTAAAATGCACTATCATATAAAACATCAAATAATAACAACAACAAAATTATGATTTTTTCGATAGGCTGTTGTAAATTTAAGTACATATAATTTTACAAAACTTCACAACTTAAAACTTCTCAGAGCACAGAATATTATCCGAAAGATTAATATTAAAACAAGTTGTTAAATAATTTGTTTTCCTAATGATTTTTATAACTTTAAGCATCACAAAGACAGCAACTGCGAATCAAACTTCTATTTCAACCGTGTCCTGCAAACAAAAAAATTATCTTTTCATTTGCAAGATTACCTGCCCAAACAAAGTATAACGTAATTGAATAATTAACAATGTTTCTCATCATAAAAACAAGTACTTAAAAAAGTACTTAAAAAAAAAGTCAAGGGGTGTCAGGGGGGCACTGGTTATAAATGAAACTCGTAGAAGAATAGGAAGTCTTAAGTACTTCTTTGAATGGTTAAATAAAATGTTGTTTATAATATTATATAGTTAAAAATGGTTAAATAGTATACAGCCAGTGATAAATATAAACATTTTAAGTAAATAATTTTTTATAATTAGATTTAGTTAGCCGTTTATAGTATTACAAATCTTTTTATTTTTTAGGTGCCCCAAGAATAACTATTTTTATTTTTTTAGGTGACCCAAGAAGTCCTTACGGTCTTATCATAGAGCACCGTGGAAGAGCATTTGAAAGGACTTTATATATATATATATAGTTTTATTAATGAGAAACCAGCATCTCTGATTTAGTCATCCGGCATTTTCTTTTGTTGGCAAACTCTTTTTTCTATTGTAATCTTATTTGATATATATTCGAAGTATAAATGCTTGCCTTATTTACATGAATGAGCTTTGGGATTAACTGCCGAAATATGTTTTTAAACTTTACTTAAATGTCCACCCATTGTAGCTTCATTTTAATCGCTTCGAGCATATCAGTTTCATATTTTTAGTTTATCTGCAGCTAGTTCGTTGAAAATTTGAGTCGTAATTGCTTCTGCTGTTTTTTCACTCATAACAATATTTCGTCTTCCAGAGTAGTAATCTTAGCGTGATTACAAAACAGAGTTTCTAACACCCATTTTGTATTGTAGGAGAGAGATATGACACCTTGGGTTGCCTAATAATACGTGTCTCTTTAATCTTAGTAAAATGTACTAAACTTAACTATATGACCTACCACTGCGTTA